AGTCTCAGGTGCAGATATAAAGCACAAGGATCCACACTTGATGAGCCGGAACAATGAAGTCCCTAGGGAGAAGGAGACTACTGTATACTTACACTATTTTACATAAAATCTCACTGGTTATGTCTATATGAGACCTGCAATATGCATCAAACAACATCAGACTAAGACTACCCTCATTACAAGAACGACGCCATGGATAAAACAGTGCTTCACCCTCCTCTTTGTCCCCTCAGGGTCCGCCATCATTTTAACCCCCCNNAAAATGTGTTTTCAATATCTGGGTAATCGCCGGTATTTCAACCGTGGAAACCACTAAAATGACTTGAAATGTAAAGTCGGGAGAGGTTTTTATTAGTGAATTAAGCACCTGAAACAGAGTTTATTTTCTACAACAACAGAAAGCTGCACATAGTTGGTTTTTCAAAAGGTGGATACAAATAGTTTGACATTTTAATCCTCTTTATCATGTGATATACAAATTAGTTGAACAAATTCAAATGGAAACCACATAAGGTGATTTTGTTGCAGATATTTCAGGTTTTTCTTGATAATAATGAAGATGTGGGAGGCTACTTGGATTCTTCTGACTTCAGTATTCCTAATATCCTGGCTACAGCTCTGACAGTAGGCAAGTAGAAATGTCTGCGTACACAGTGCCTGTACTCTTTATGAAAACCATTTTTAGACTAAAAGAAAAAGGTCTTTACTTTCTTCAGAAGACCATGTGAACATTGGGACTTTAAAATTAAGATTAAAAGATTGCTTCACCCAAATTACAGTCCTCCGGAAAAAAAAAGATTTTTTATTTCCCCAGGTTTCAGTTTCTGATATTTCTGTCGCCATCCAAACACAATGGAGGTGAAAGGATTTGAGGAGCTAAAAGCACCAGAAAAAATTACATTTAAAAAAACTCAACAACAATGTGCCTTTCCAGACACAATGTCCTGGTTTTTTTTAGGGCAATCCACAGAGCTTACTGTCAAAAGTTTTTGTTGGAACTACTTTCTACCTGTGCTATGGAGGGTAACAAGGGCACGGTTTCTGGGGAGAGATGTCTGTGCTAAATGTTTTTATGTATTTTTTTTTGTTGTTGATGTGAGCACGAAATAATATTTGTTACCCCCGTAGAATAGGAGTGATAGCAGAAATCGCAAAGGCCCAGCAGAAGCTCTTTATAGCTCGGCAACACTATGGTGAGTGAGCCAATGTGTGTACGTGAATTGGGTGAACTGACCCTCAACATTTGCATTACAATCAGGCTAAGATTACAGCATGGGTTTAGGACTGATAGGCAACCTAAAGGACAGAAGGTTGTGTGTCTACATTTTAGGAGCCTTCTAGTGATTCAGTACTACACATGGATAAAGTTCAGGAAACAGAAGAATGGTCACTAATCAGTGCAGCAGGGTTTGATTTATCCTTACTTTTAGTTCCTTGTATAGGTCGAGCTCTATGTTTCTACGTTTACCATCCCGTAAAACCTGTCAAACACCTTATGTTTCTCTACAGAAAACATTACATAACTGTTTTCACAGACAGAATAGCAGAGGTGTGGATTCACGTCAAAAATTTGATGACTTTAGACTCCACAAACTCAAAAAAAGACTTACAACTCGACTTAAACTTTAACACCTGTGACTCGTAACTTCACTTGGACATGAAAATACTTGATTCCTTTCTCCACCCCAGTGATTAAAAACTATGTAACTTCAGAAGTCTTCCACAAATCAATTCATGACCCTAATCCTGAATGTTAACGCTATTCCTTCCCAGCGAGTCGACACTTAATTTCTCAGATGCACAAACTATTTCGTTTATGTACAAAAACTACACTGTGGTCACATTAAGACTTGTTTATGACTCGAAACTCATAGTTTATGACATTGACTTGGGACTTGACCTGTCTTGACTTGGGACTTGGGTGCAAAGACTTGAAACTTACTTGTGACTGCTGAATAGTGGCCCCACAGTTTTGCCACAAACTGTCTTCCTTTAGGCGCTGTCGGTGTTGTTCATTGGGGCCTAATTTCTGCGTCAGGGGCAGGGGGCCTCAGCAGGGTACAAG